ATCACAACGACCCTCAACAGTACTATTGGCTTCAATTCGGAGGACATGTCGACCCCAACGGCGAAGAGGCGGACGAGTCGACGGCCAATGCGTTTGATATGCGACTCATTCACGTGAGTAGTGTTGCGGTGATTGTGGCGATGGATGAGTGGATGAGTTAGTGGTGATTGTCTGCCATTGTATGCCATTGTGTGACAGGGATTGCGATGTGAGGCCAATCTGTTGCGTCTGATGGTGTCGTCGTTGTGTCCGGCAGTCTATGGCCACGAGTTGGTGAAGACAGCGCTGGTGTTGGCGCTGATGAGTGGCTGCGCCAAAGAGGACCGACAGAGCCCTCACCTCACAGTCAGGGGAGCCATACATGTGCTGCTCTTCGGAGACCACGGATCACACAAAGACCTGCTCCTCAAGAGTGTCCACTCGTGTGCCCCCAAAGGCCACTACCTCTTCGGCAACGCCTCGACTATCAATAGTCTCACCACTCGTTACGTGAAGACCAAAACCAAGGAGTACTTCGAGAAGGGATCACTTGTTTCGGATCCGTTGGGTCTGTATTGACCACCAATTGAACGCCGATTGCAGTAATCATTGACTCATTGTATTGCAAACCTATAGTCATCTGTTGTATCGATGACTTCGAGCGCTTGAATACCGTTCAGCGACAGGCCGTTCAGGAAGTGCTCGAACACCAGAACCTGTGGATCAGTCGGAAGGAGAAGTTGCAGCGATTGTCGGCCAACACCTGCATCATCGCTGCCGTCAACCCAATCGATGGTGCCTTTGATCGCACTGTGAATGTGTGGCAAAACACGAGACTCAGTGCTTCTCTGCTCAACAAATTCGACCTCATCTTCGACTTAATCGATACGCCCGACGAAGAGCTCGACTCTAAGCTCTCGAAAGATATTCTCGATTCACATAAGCCTTCGACGAGTGGACACAAATTGCTGCAAAAGTTTTGCGAGCAAACACTCATCACAACCAGAAATGATTGCAATTTAATGTCGAAATTAATATTCAGAGCCACAGAAGACGAGCCGAACCTCATTCCTCACGAGTCGATGAGACAGTACGTCGATTACGCCCACAAATTCATACAACCCGTCATCAACTGTAGGGCTAATGAGCTGTTGATTGACTTCTGCCAACAAATGGCGCCCTCAGAGATCAGTCGATCGGTTACGAGAAATCTGGAGACTCTCTACCGATTGACTGAAGCGAGAGCTCGTGTGGAACTCAGGTCTGTGGCCACCGAAGAGGACGCTCTCGATGTGATCGATATCGTCAGACACTCTATTGGAAAGCATTATGTTTTACCCAATTTAGTCAATTCGGTCAAAATTGTTCACTCATTTAGGGGTTCCAGCAAAAGACAAAACACTAAGAATCTGTTGAAAGCGTTACAGATATTCAGTGAACAAAACCAGCAAAAAGTGTTTAGTGTGGACCAGATTGTGGACATTAGCTCTCATTTTCAGATCCCGTTTGACTCAAGAGAAGAGATTTTGGTGGCAATCGATCGACTCAACAACGAGTCCCACGTGATTAAGACCGGATCCGATTATAAATTGCTTTAAATATGTCTTATTATTAATCCATTTTCTCTCATTATATCGATTTTTATCATTATTCCTAACATACAGTATAAACAATTCTATTCATTAATATAACTCTAATACTAAAGTAGTATAACATTATTAGTAATTTTTGTTAATTTCATCATTTCTAGTCAATTAAAGACTCATTAAAATGTGTAATCATTTGGCAGTTGTTTCATAAATAGATTTATTGTAATAAATGAATAGCATTTCAATCTAATGTAGAGTTTGTTAAATATTTTTATTGATTTTTTTACAAGACATGGGAATATCTGAACAAACATTGGAGTCCATGAATGCGATAGTAATAAAACTTCTAAAAATGGAAATCATATCATATTTCATATATTATTCTAATTTGTACCNCATAACGAGATTATGAAGGCATAGGCATAGGCACAGGTTGGCATAGTTTGTGCACATAATTCGAGTGATGTTCATAACTACGGTAAGAGTTGTTTAAAGTTGTTATAACTTATGAAGTAATCTCATGTAATCGCAAAGCAATTATGAATTGATGTGAAACTTGAATATTAAGAAGAGAGAGCGAGAGAGAGAAAGTGATTAATTGGTATTAATATGTTTTGTTAGTGAATGTTTGGCAAGTAATTGAGTGTTCAGTGTATTAATGTATTGTTATCTGAATAGAGGCACTCAATACACTGTTATCTACAGAATTTGGTTCAATTTGGTTGAGCGCTGCATCATATCATACGATACGATAACTTAAGTTAATATTAATTATTATGAAACCATTGTTCACTATATGTTCGCCAAAGTAAAAGTATATAAAATTCAATGAAATCATAACCTCGGTTATAATGAGTTCGATTGCATACTATTATATTGATATCCAATGAAAAGAGTTTGAGTCAATTAATAGCTATCAGTAAAGAGTCTTAATGTCATTGACAAGTGTAGCCAACATTAAGCTGTAAGAGGAAGAGGGTGTTGATAGAGGCTGAGACCACTTGGATCACTGGATCACTTGATCACTGATCATCACTTCAATGAATGTGTCAATGAGTTGGAGTCTCGACTCAATACAACCAAACGTGACTTCGCATCCCAACCAACACAACGACAAGTCATATATTCATATGAAATATACTTTTAGCTATTTATCCGTTTAGTGTTTTGCTGTGTTGTAACCGCTATTACAAAGTTTAATAGAACAGCAAAACTGCAACTATTGCTTATATTGCTGCCAATTCACTGCACCATACCTTTCCAATTGCTGCCAATTGCATACATTGGCATACCATACCTGGATATACTGTACAAACTCTAGCCTACACTACACTAACTGTACTGTACTGTCAATTCATTGAATACATTGAATACAGTGAATAAGTCTTACTCTGGTGTTCGACACCGACTCCACTCTCAACACAACTCTATTATACTATTCAGTAATTATTGCAAACTTTATAACTTATATTCAAATACAAATCAACTATTATTTAGTATCAATATTTGTTGCACCAAAGTAGTGAATAGTTAATGAAAATGCCGTTCAAAAGTCTGTTCAGCAAAAAGAAAAATAAAAATGATGGTAAGAATAACTTAATTATATTCATTATAGACATTGTTTTGCTTTTTATTGCTTACTATTAACTAATTATAAAATCAAGTCTTTATGAAACACCACTTACTGTATGGTATATAAAAGTGAATTGCAGTCAATTAAATGCAGAACTTTGTACTCAATATTGTCGTGAAAACTAATTTATTTTATGAAATATTATATTTAAAAATATTTATTTTATGAGCTTTTATTTGCCCTTTTTATTATTATATACATAAAGAACTTGTCTTTTAATTACTAATTCAGTAATAATAAAGTGTTAAACAAATGTCGACAATTATATACAGTTAATATTGAATGCAATGGTATGATGTGTACTAAAAACCATATTTATAATGACATGAATACCTGTAATACCTGTACGATTGAAAATAGTTTTTGTCAATACATTCATTTGAAGGTTATTTTGTGCGTATTTCTAGTGATTTTCGTATTGAATTCATTAAATAAGAAATCGCTTTCACTTATAAACACATATTTTTATATAAAACGCTTTCAATCTATGCATTAATTCTATATATATTTTAAATTTAAATTTTTTCCAAGTCTTAATTTATTTATATAAACAAATTGTGAATTTAATTCATAAACAGTGTTTTAAAATAAACTCATTTTTAACGCTTTCAATCTATGCATTAATTCTATATATATTTTAAATTTAAATTTTTTCCAAGTCTTAATTTATTTATATAAACAAATTGTGAATTTAATTCATAAACAGTGTTTTAAAATAAACTCATTTTCAAATAAAACAGAATATATTTCTATAATACAGATTATATATAGAAATCTAAATATATAGTTTTATTTTTTATTTCAAATTGTATTAATTCCTTGTCTAATATTATTTATTCAATGAAATTGTGTATAGTCATACCGGTATCATAACTACAAATATAACACAGAAATTGCATTAATATAAAGATATTTTTAAACCAATAATGCAATAGCTTTTTATAACTTATATCAAATATCATATAATTATTAATTAGTTTAATAACAGAAATATTTTCTAGATAACACTTTTAAAATTTTAAATTGTTTAAATAAAATTTTTAAGTATAATTTTATATTTTAAAGTTCGGTATTTTATTTAAATGTAGCTATGGTTTGCATTAACTAATTTAGTATTAAATTTAATAATACTGTACTAATTATATTATAAAACTGCCTTATCATGTTAATGTTTAAAGATTACTTATATTAGTAAATGTATTATTGAATTTTACTTAAGATAATTATAAAGTATGCGATTAGGACTATAGTGTTTAATGAAATAGAAATATTTTTTAATCTCTTTATACATTTTTTGTTGAACATTGAAGTAATAAAAAAATTAGTATAGTTATTAATACTGTCACTGTATAATGTTATAGTGCCGGTATATTAATTGTTATATAATAGATAATAAATAAGTATTCTATATAAATAGTATTTCTATAATATTAATTTTAATTAATTTGTGGATTACAATAACAGTCACATATTTTTATTTAATGTTGCACTCAATATAATATTTTTAAAAATATAGCCACAAGAACATAACGAAAATACTATTTTTTATTTTTCATAAACTTTTATTAAAGCTAAACAGTTTAATGGATAATAATTAATTTTTTAATTAACAAAAAATTTAAAAATAAAATATAGCATGATAATTGATGATTAAAATGGAAATTCAATTTATCTCAAAATCATAATTTATTTATATTTTTATTGAAACAAAATTTCATATTTAATATTAACGGAATTATATTTGTTGTGTTTTACATTCATGTAAATAATGACAAGAATTGTGAATACAATAAATATATAAAATACTGTTTATTTGATAATTTATATAAAGTTTTTTGTTATGCTTGATACTACAACAATTGCAAAGTAAAGAAATGTATTAAAATCATATAATACTCAATATTCAAACTATGCAATCATATATTCTGTATTTATTATAATACTGTACTCATAAGAATAGATTGATTGTTGATTGAAAAATAAATGAACTAATTTTGTATAAAATGAAAGTGAGTTCAGTAAATATCATACCAAACATTACTATTTTGTGAATTTGTAAAATTTTGTTTACATAGTATTATATAATTGAGTATAACAGTATCTTTTGTTAGAATTTCAGAGTAAAAATACAGGTACTGTATACGAATTTCTATGTTTTTATTATCTGATAACATGGTTATTAAGAAAATCACATTTAATAAATTTATTGATTGATCTTGGAATCATATTTATTAATGATAAATTACCATTAATTCTGTTTCGTTTGGTCTTTAT